GTAGTAGTGCTAGTAGTAGTGCTAGTAGTAGTAGTAGTAGTAGTAGTAGTAGTCGTAGTCGTAGTAGTCGTAGTAGTCGTAGTAGGTGTTGTCGTTGTTGTTGTCGTTGTTGTTGTAGCAGCAGAGCCCCTCACTCAACTGAAGAATATGCACATACCGTACAACACCGTATGCTCGGCTCGCCCAGTGCAGTTTGTCTTCAGCCTAACATAATCACTATCGGTCGCTGTCGTCGCTTTTGCCACGGTGCTGTCCTTGTTAGAGTCGGTTAGGTATTTCCTCTCAGTGCCATTGTTGTCCACTTATATCATCAAGGGCTGACGCAGAGATGAGTGTTGCGTACATGCTTTCCAGCAAACCAAGCGTAGGATGGGTAACCTTGTCTTAGTGCCCACTGTTGTCAGGATCCTGCTACTCTGGATTTCCTCATGTGCCTCAAGTGCCAGCCCTTAACGGTTTTAGTCTTGACACCCTAAAGAAAAGCCCCGAAACCTAAACAGCATAAACCCTGAACTTCTCTAATCACGGCCTGCCCTGACAGCATTTCCGGTGGTGGATCGATCCCACTTTTCCTGGCCATGGAGCCAGGGCCTTAGAGTCTGAGCCCAAGTCCGACTTGTGGCGCAGCTGGTTCTTCGACCATAGTATCCGTAGAGTGAGTTCATCTTGGTCCAGTGTTCACACAACGCCGTGATTTAGCGAAGCTGTGGGGATGATGTTGCCTGCCAAACCTGGGCATTCAGGTTCGGGTTAGCTTCGTGCAGCCGGACACCTCTTGTAGAATTCCGAGCCATGCTCCAAGTTCAGGACTAGTCCGCGACCTGCCGTTGGTCCTCCTTCCAGCGCACACAAAGTCACTAGTCACGACCCGCTACTGCGCCTTCGGGATGTCAGAGTCCATGTTGAGTTCTTGATCACTGCTGTTATTCTCGATATAACCAGTGCTTTGGCCATGTTAGGCAGCCCGTACAGTATAAGGGTTGACGACACTACGATGGTGAGCTGCTCAGCTAAGGACACCGAATCTTCCCTGGCAGAAGGTGCATGCCTTCAGATAACTCTTAGAGTTGCGAGGTTTAGGGTTTAGGCTTCCAAACTGCCGGGAAGCTGGTTCACAGTGAGGAACGCAGTTTTGCGCGCACAGTACGAAGGCCGTTTATGCTCCGTTCCTGCACGCATCCCTAGACCTGTTTGTCCTTTTCTTGCATCCTTGTCTCGATATCTTCTAATCCAGGTTCCTTTTCCTTTACACACGTATATGCAAACAGATCTGTCTATCTATCTACCTATCTACCTATCTATCTACCTATGCATCTATCTGTCTATCTATCTATCTATCTATCTATCTATCTATCTCTGTCTATCTCTCTGTCTCTCTCTCTCTCTTTAATTTCTGTTCCGTTCTTGAGATCTTGATCACACGTACTGTACAGAATGCCATATGCCATATGCCTTGCAGGCGCGGGCGAGGAGTTCTGCCACTTGGGTTGCTGGGGCCTGAGACCACAGAAAGCCAGGAGCTCGCAGGCAGGCCTTTTTGCTCGTGTTCAGGGCAGTTACACTTGAGGCGGGCCAGCAAAAGAGTGCGAGTCTGCAGCCCTGAAATAATCCCTATAACCCCCCAGGTACCTACTATATAGGGTACTAGAGCCCCTAGGGCCCCATATAGTAGGTACCTGGGAGGTTAGGGAATTGCAGCCGGAAAGCATCCCATCTCAGAGCTTGCCGAGGCGCATCGGCTCTGGTGCTGCTGGCATCCCAGAAGGGCGGGACAGTCTTCATGCGCTTGGGTTTGTAGCGTCTGGGGTAACTCTGTCTACAGCCACCATCCTAGACCTTGAGAGAACTCGAAAACATGAGCAGTGCATGCATACATGCGCATATAGACCCGCAGCAACCATACGCACAGACATATACACCGACCCACGCACGGGTGCCCACACTGATTCCCTTTCTCGGAAGTCATCAGCATTCAACGTTGGTGTGCCACTCCGCCTCGGTGCCAAGGACATCTCTCGCAAACATGTTGGAGGCGAGTGCTGGGATGCGAGCGCAACCTATAGGGGAACGTTGGCACGACAGAAAACCCAAAGTCGGCAGCCCCAGCCCTCTTTCGAACATGGAGCTGGAATGGAAAGCACACTCCGTAAAGCACAGTTCAGCGGCGGCTTGCAAGCTAAGCACTCTGGCTGGAAAGACCTCCATATTTAGCAGACAGAAAGCCGGATTGCAAAACAGAGAATGCAAGGTCACGGTAGCATGCAATACTTGATGTGGGTTGTGGGTCTGGAGTCACGAATGAGCGGGCCCCAATGCATGAGCCACAGTGTTTTCGGCATTCAGAGCCTCTTCATTCCAATAGTAGTAGTAGTAGTAGTAGTAGTAGTAGTAGTAGTAGTAGTAGTAGTAGTAGTAGTTGTTGTTGTTGTTGTTGTAGCAGTAGAACCAGTAGACACGGAATTGAAAGTCCACTCCCGGCATCTCCA